AGGCCAAAGTTGGCCCTGCTGAAGTTCAGGGCTGCGATCCTGCTTGGTATTCTGTTCCTACCACACAAGATCCTGAACACTACCATCTCATGGTCACTGCAGCCAAGGCTGCCTTCAACCTTCACCGCTTCAACCAGACCCTGCTTGTTAGTGAGTATAAGATCCAGCAGTGCTCCTCTCCTAGTTGGCTCATCCACCATTTGCATCAAGAAGTTATTATCGATGCACTGGAGGAACATCTTGGACTGTGAATGGCTGTGGAAGCCTTCCAGAAAATGTCTAGGTAGTTAAAATCCCCCATGAGTATTGCTGGTATGGCTAGAGCTGCGCTTTGCCACTGATGAGCATGGCTAAATCTTTTTGACTAACATGTAAACCTGTTGTGCTGGATGTAAAGGGTTTTTTGTATGTTCCATTCTTTTTTTCCCAACCTGCTTTTGTTTTCTGTATATTGTAAAGGGGTTGGCAGTAGTTATTAGTGAAATTGTCCCTTTTACTGACAGCAGTGCAAATACTGTGCCACTACTCTTTAGAAGGATAGGGTTTAATGATTAAAACATATGGAGTGAGAAGACTTTGCTAGTAATGAGGCTAAGTTGGTTGTTGTATGGTGCAGCAAATTCTGAGGTTGTAAGCAGTCTCCTTGTTAACAAATTGATTTAATATGTATTTCTAGAATGGAAATTTTTAAGTTTGAATTCTCATGAGAAACCAACTTTTTACAAAAATTAATTTGAGCTCAGCCAGTCAAGAAGGGGAGGGAACAAGAACAATCTTAGTTTATACCAAATTGTTGCATCCTAACTGCTGAAAGCAAATTCTTGGCCTGTTTAGTCTAATGTGACCAATATAATTTAGAAGATGTACTGAGTCTGTATTTACAAGACACAGCAATGAAAGTTGAAGTAAAATTTAAAATAAATGGATCTGAGGAAAACATGCTGGTAAACATCCTAATAAAGAGGGAAAGAAGGGGGAAGGGGAAATACATACTCTAGTATGATATATTTGCTCAGCTCTAACTGTATCTATGAGATGCCTCGGTATATTCAACAGCCTCTTTTGGGCTTTTGCTCTTGGAAGGCTGTGGGGCACCTGCAGGTACAATGTTGGACACGTAGCTCTACAGTTATGGACTGATGCCTTGTTTCTTGTGGCCATGTTCTGTCCTTAGCAATATTGGACCAAAAGTCATTGTTGTTGGCATGTACCCAAAAGTCATCACTTCAGCTCAGAAAATGTGTGTAACTAGAAAGCTCCCTCAATCTGCAGTTTTGTCCTAATTCCCAAAAAAAGTTGCCTGCATGCACAATTTGCCATATACCATTATGTGGTAGCATTATGGCTGGAACAGTTTTTTTGCAGATTGAGTGAAATTGGAGAAAAATTAGTATGTTTGTTTCTAGTGTACTGGAGATCAAGAATATAGCTCACAGCTG